CCGACACATCCGCCACTGGCGCGATTTTGTATGCGGGCTGTGGTTCATGAGGACAACCTGTTTTTGCGTTCTGAAAAAGTAAACGTTTTAATGGAGGAATTTCTTTCGCGGCGTGTTTGCAAGGTGTTCAAGACCTCCAAAAATGCGAAAAGGGTTCTGTACCATGCTTAATTACAAAGTTGACTAAAACTGTAAAAGTTGAAATATAACATTAAGTAAGGCGTTAGAAAGGAAAAGGAATGTAAAATACGGTTTATGTAAGTCCTCGGCATTTATTTCATAGAAGAATACATTCGCAGAATGTATGATTAATGTTGCAAGACATAAGGGAGTCGGCGTTGACTAGCTGGCTTGTGGTAGTGTGGATTGATTTCTAGTGCAGCTTGAAATTGGCTTTGGTAACCGTATAATGTATATGATGAAGAGATTCCTCGCTAATGGATAGATAAAGCGGTGTGTATGTTATAGGACTAGTCTATACTAGTCCGAGAGTGTTCTCGCGCTGGTAGGGATGCCAGAAAACCAGAAAGACGGACACACCGGATTGTATTCGCGGAAGGCTACAATCGAACGAAAACGAATGAAGCGATGAGAGCGTACGTCAGTGCCGGAACTCACCGTGGAGAAAGGTGGTGAGCCGGATGCAGTTCATAATGGCCGTAGAGTCGGCATTAAAACAAAAAGCAATATTTTATGACTGAGTAATAAAAGTGTACAAAAAACAGGAAATATCTTTTGGGTTGCTACAGAGCTCCCCTCCTAGAAGGCTGAACGAAGAAGCCTTCGAAATCAACTGGTTGTGGATCTAAAGTTTGCAAAAGGTTCTGGTATACAAAGAAGAGTCTGCTCGGGATCGAAAAAAATGTAGCCGAAAATTTGTATCCGCTGTGCCGTCCGGTCTTTATTATTTATTGGTTGCAGGGCAGGGTGCATTTCGGCGAGCCGTTGGAGCGGGCTTGTCAGACTACAAAAAAACTGGCTAGTCCAGAAAAAGGCCGACAGGACTTCAACCTCCGCTGCTGCCAAACGGTGCGCTTGGGAGTGGTCTCTCCCCCCGCCGCACCCCGCCCCGCGCCATAAAGACCCTCGTCCCACGAAGAAAACGACCATGGTCCCACGGAGAAGCGACCCTCGTCCCGCAGAGAAGCGACCCTCGTCCCGCGGAGAAGCGACCAGTGTCCGCGTCAGGATCCTCGAAAACATTCCTCGTGTGGGCCAGTCGCTCGAAGGGGAGGGTTGGGGCATGTAAAGACGAGAAAATAGAAAAACATGCGCAGAAAACGCCAAAAAGAACAAACGAATGAGCTGCGTGTTTAAATATTTTTTGGTTTTTGATAAAAAAAATTTTGAAAAAGGTTTTTCGGGGTTTTTTGATATTTTGTTTGTTTTCAAAACGTTAATCGACCAAAAACGAGGCAAATATATACAATATCTACAAAGTTAAAAGTATTTACACTGTACATAGTCGGAGAAGCGGACGGGCTTACGCACCTCCCGACCACGGCGATTGGTCGTGGGAGGCGGCGGGCTAGATTCGGGAGAGGTTGGGACGGCTTGCAGACCGAGATCGTGGTCTGGTTGAACTGGACTAGGATGATGTAAGTTAAAGCGATGAGTTGCAACGTCGCACGAAGCACTACTAGACGAAGTAGGCGAGGGGTTTTCTTCCATAAAGGCGGGTTTTAGACGGTCGATGGTGACGACTTCGTGTCGACCACCGCGGTCAATAGTGTACGCCTTACTCGCACGATGCAGCACCTTGAAGGTTCCTATGTACGGCGACTGAAGAGGCTGTCGAACACCGTCTGCGCGAAGAAGGACGTGTGAACACGTAGACAGCTTCTCGGGCACGTACACTGGTGTCTTCTGCGATCGAGGAGCGGGTGGACGTAGCTCACGCATCTGGTGAGCCAATCGGTCAGTGTACCTTCCATAGTCAAAAGTGGAAGTACATGGGGCTGGTGCTACCAGCTGTCCGGGCAACCGCGGCGTGCAACCGTAGACTAGCTGCGCTGGTGTGGCGTCGAAGTCAGTCTTAACCGTGTTTCTTAAACCTAGGAGAACGAGGGGAAGCGTTTCAGACCATGAAGGATCTGCGTGCGCACGTAGCGCTGCCTTCAACTGGCGGTGAAAACGCTCCACCATGCCGTTAGCGGCCGGATGATACGCTGTCGTCTGAACGTGGCGACAACCTAAATCCTTAAGCAACGTGGCAAACGTTGACGAAAAATGCGACCCTCGATAGGTGGTCGCTATGGCGGGACAGCCGTATTGAGCAAACCCAGCGCTCCATAAAAGCTTTCGCTACTGTTTCCGAGGAGCAATTTGGGATAGGGACGGCCTCAGGCCATCTAGTAAATCGATCGATGCAGGTAAGTTTGTTTCAGTTGCTTGTTCTCATTTTCAATGCGATTGTTGCTGTCGCATCCAAATAAAACTACATGGCCCATCAGATGCGCCGCCCAGCTAAGCCGCCATGGAATCCATGTACGACGCAGGTATTGGAAGCATACTGCGCTCCGCAGAGATATCGCTTCCATAATCCGATGGTAATGAGCGCAGTCGTACGTGTACAACAATGACCGCAGCATGCTGAAAGGAGCTCTCTTATCTTCAGCGTTACACAGCGGAAGGTGTGAGCAACGCCGCCGCATGTCACCCATAATTTGTACCCGGCAGAAAACAATGTTCACATTTGGGCACGCATTACGGAACGCGTTCACTTGCGACGCGCACTTGTCCATCACCAACGTCCGAGCACCGGCAACCGAGGGGGCCAATTCCAACATACCTCTCACTGCCTCCTCGTGAGCTACCTCCGTCTCATTAGGCAACAGGGCATAAAAGAAGCTCATACCGAGGCCGCTGACATCCACAAACATGCAATGCCACAGGATGCAGCCTCCGTAATTGATCTGATACGTGGAGTCCGCCAAAATTACCTTGCCGTACTGGCCCACCAATTCAACCATGCGCGAGGGTACAAAAAATAGGTAACGAATCTGATTACCCGCATGCAGAATTTTCACCTCACCATTTCTTTGCAACAATTGAGTCACCTCCTCCACCTCAGTGACACAGGCCTTACGATGACGCCGCCGCATAACATACAAATCCTTCCTTGTTAAACGAATGCCATACTGCTGCCGCACAAAGGCCCGCATCGCCTGGGTCCGACGAAACGTTCTCATTAAGTTAAGCACCAGCCTCTCCTGCTCTTCTGATAGCCTCCGCTTACACGCATACAGCCAAGGCTTCCCAACTTGGAAGCTGTGCGAATGCCACAGATACGCATTCCCAATTTCGTAACATTCGCCCTTATACGTCACAGAAAAACGCGCAGGGCAATCGTAACATCGGTACCTATAGTAATCTTATCATGAGGTAATTGCAATGCACTTACCGCTTTCCAGTGACATTACTGCGCCTCCCATGCACACATACAAACAGAATATATCGGTATGGGCATCCATCCGGTAGCACCTGTCCAGTCTCCCTTTCGTACGCCTTCGCAGATTGCACGTTCCGACGAACAAAGGATGTCGCCGTTTTAATCTGAAACTCTTTCAGATCCTTCTCCACCGATGCGAAGTCCAGATAAGGACCCTACAACAAACGTCGGAATGCAAGCGAGTCATCCACCATGGCTGCTACGCGTGAGGCGGGAAAATGATTAACCATCATAACGCATTTAAACCACTTATTAAATTGATTACCAATTGAGGTCGTAGGATTTTGGCAAGCGTACTCAATCATTAATAAACAACACTATGAGTTCAATGTCGCCAAATATACATCACATCACCTGCCACCCTATGTACCGGGATAACACTGCCGAAGGAGCGTTATTTCCAAGTGGCGGATGGGACGGTCTCCATGCGACCATAGGCAGCCGCATCAACCTGCATAGCTGGAGACACGAAACGCATTAAAATGTACAAGCTAAACTCATAAAAACAAGCAATTTATGCTGTCTTCATTCCATACCTATGGTGTATATTGACTTCATTTTTGCTCTTACCGGTTAGATAACTATACATCTAAAATTACGTAAGCCTGTTTACACTGACTGTACCAGGCAACCCTCCCGGACAATACTTTAATCGGCCGGCTAACGATAAGCGCGGTAATCGTTATACGGGCGCACCGATATGTGCGCGGTTAGGCCGTCTTTTCTTCTGAAGTGTTAGTAGTGTCCCTAAAGGAACTCCAAAAAGCAGAATGCAACATTTAATATATAGTGGTTAACAGGTAGTTAGATATAAAGGTGAATGTGTATTTATCTATAGAAAGCCAAGTCCTAGGTGTCAGTATAATAAAAGGTGTGAGAGCAAATGTACTTGGTGGTCCCAAATGTATTTGTATAGGTGCAGTCCAATTGCCCTATATGGAATAATTGTCTGGAGAGCAGGGTAAATTGGAAACGAAAGCAATACTAGAAGTTTATTGGGAAGGAATTTTTATAAATATTTAAAGGTAACACATGGATATAGGCTTGAGATATGTTAACTTGGTTTCACTACTAACCTAGAACAAGGTGCGAAAGTGCTTTTGGAATGCGGAGAAGCCTTCATGTGTAGATACAAGCATAGAACAACTTTTGTTTTAAACTTTGTATGTTATCTTTGCTCTGGAACTGTAGCAGTCTTCTCCGTATCGTGCCAAGTCTAGTGCATGTACCGCCGGATCGAGTACGAAAGCCGGTGCGCCTAGTTTTAGAACCCAGGCCGCCAGTATGCAGATCCAGATAGGACTGGGACGATATGAAAATCCCTTGTGTTCTTTCTTGAGCTGATCGTTGAGCCGGGAAATGATAAGGTGCTACGAGGTCTTGAAGGCTATGCACTGCTTAGATGTGATCGCTCCGTCGGCCGCCAAGGAAGTGGTATCACTCTTTGTGTGAGTTGTAAACTTGTGTTTAGGACCTGTGTTTTCCATTCGCCTGACCAAACAGTTGAAACCGTGTCGGCTATTGTGTGCACTTCCTCTGCTCAGTATACAGTTGTAGTTGTATATCGAGGTCCTGGAATTATCTCCAGGGAGGTTATTGAATTTATTCATACTCAGGCTGCCAATAGATGTCTAATACTGGGTGACTTCAACCTCCCTGAAGTCTGCTGGGCTGATCTATCTTGCAGTTCGGCAGTGCACACTTTCGTTTCGGATCCCCTTGAGCTAACATTGCAACTGCCTTTGCATCAATTCGTAGACCTCCCGACTAGATATATGAACAACCAACTTCCGTCTACCTTGGAACTCATTTTTGCAAGGTCACACGATTTCGTAAGTAATATTACATACAGCTGTCCTCTAGGAGCCAGTGACTATGTACGCATATCCTTTCTGTCATCAAGCTACTGTCATCTACTGCTACTGTCATCAAGGTACCACTGAGGCATGTCCACATATTTGGCGGGCATTTAACGGGTAGCCTGGAGAGTGATTCGAAAAGGCATATCGGATTGCAGGGAAAATACCGGCACAGTAAAAGAATCCCTGTTACCTAGTTATAAAAACGACACCGTTGACGCTCTAGCTAGGGGAACGCAGAATACACAGCACACGGCAGTCGCGCGCTGCAACCGAAACGAGCGCCAAGCAAAAATGGCGATGAGCAAGTCAAGCATTCGAACTCAGCAGTCAGTTCAACAAACCACACCGGTCGCCTAGGTGTACAATGAAATGATTTTACTTAGAATCTCCAGACTGCTACAGGCAGACTTGAACGCAATGCGAGACAAAGCTTCAGATCTGCGTTGCGCGATCACCGCGGCTGACACCGCTGATACAGTCCGGGAGAAATTTAAGGCATACCTCACCGAGATCTCTGCTCCCCACATCCCACTCCCTAAGAGACAGGTGACACGGCCTCCTTGGAAAAGTCATACAGGTAAATACCTGCTCAGGAAGCGCTCTAATTGCAGGCGAACTTACCAAGCGGCCTCATCAACCAGCACCTACGAAAGCTATCGAGCGGTTAGAAATAAATGTATACAACATCTCCCTCTCTTCGTCTTTAGTACGAGGAGGATTTGGCTGACGCAGCCGTAACAAGTCCAAAGTTCTTAGCATACGTAAAGAGACACAGCGGTACAAACTCGTCTATACCGGCTTTACTAAGAGCAGACGGCACCCGTGGGCATACCGACTATGATAAGGCATGTATATTTAGCGAACAGTATACTAGTGTCCTTTCTCGTGAGACCTAACTCGGGTTGAGCTGGTCGCAAAAGTCCCGGAGAATTCTTGCCTAACTGAAATCAGCATAACGGAGACAAGTCTTCGGGCTATTGCAAGGGATAAATCCTTCCAAGGCTTTTGGCCCTGATTCACTTCATTCGTAGCTGTTGTATGAATTGGCCGCTGAGCTAACTGGTCCTCAGACATGCATGTTTACGATATCGATCGACAGCTATGCCTTCGGAATAGAAGGAGGCACTCATCTGTCCGATTTTTACGGGCGGTGACAGACCTCTGCCCGCGAACTACCGGCCTGTCAGCTTGACAAGCGTAGTAGTTAAGTTGTTCGAAAAATTGGTCAGGCGTTCGATGGAGGATCACCTGATTAGGTTTAATCTTCTCGGTGCGGCACAGCAATGTGTGTCAGTTGTACGCCGTAACGGCGCTTCGCTGCCGCGCGACCACCACCAGTCGCGCGCGGGCTGAATATACCGCGAGGACGCCCACCCCTTCGCGTATTCGAACCTGTGATCTTATGGTTGCAAACCAAACGTGCAGACCACCCGACCACCGGCCGAGTACGGCACAGCACGGATTCCGTAAGGGATTTTGTCTGACAAATTTACTAGTAGCTCGTGAAAGCTTGGCTGAAACAGTAGACGACGGTCACGCTATCGACGTGCTTTTCCTTGACTTCTCGAAAGCCTTTGATACTGTCCCACCTCAGTGATTCTCGTTAAAGTTGAGATCGTGTGGGATATCTGGAGCCGTCCTTAAATGAATGTTTGCTTTCCTAGAGGTGAGAGAAGTGTGTACGCCTGAGGCGTAGCCTGGGAAGTTGTATCAGCGCCCGTGGGATTTAAGATGAAATCACGAATCGTATAGCAAAAGCTAGAGGCGCTTTCGCTAACCTTCGCCACTTATGGCGCCGGCACGACATCACTCAAGCCCTGAAGGGTAGAGTGTACAATGCAGCAGTACGTTCGACCCTATTGTACGGTTGTGAAACCTGGCCGCTTAAAGCAGCGGACCTGAAGAGGCTAGTTACGTTCGACCACCGGTGCCTTCGTAATTTAGCTCACATTTGGTGGGAACACCGCGTGAGCAACGAGCGTGTTCGACGCCTTGTTTATGGCACAGGAAAAGGAAATGAACCGCTCAGCACCGTTATTTCACGCATCAGGCTCCGATGGCTCGGCCACGTGTTACACATGCCAGCCCACCGACTCCCGCGACGTGTTGTTTGCGCGCCGGGGGTGTGGATGGAAGAAGAGGAGGGGTGGCCAAGCGATGACTTGGTCCAGAGGAATGAAGACCCTCACTTCTGAACTGGCCTCGGTTGGAGCATCTCGGCTCCCTGGTTGGGGTCCGAAAGACGATGAACACGTTTGGTTGGACACACTTGCTGATATGGCTAGGAGCCGACCTCAGTGGCGTTCGTGCTGTGAGTTTCTTTGTCCCACCCCATCCCTCTTAGCCTCCCCCTCCGACCACGATCTCATTTCTTAGCCTTATATAATTTTGCATAATAATTTTTTTGGGGTGCACAGCAGCCGGCTGGTAGCTTACCGGAACGATGCCCATCCGTTACCGGTAGCTCAGCCAGCTTTCACCAGTTGTTTTCTTTTTCTCTCATTTTTTTTCTTTGTATTGCGACACAGTAGCCGAGGTGTTCCCCACCTCTAGCTAACGTGTATGATGATGATGATGATGATGAGGCGTAGCCTTTCGCTTAGACAAGCTGCTCTTAGGGGCATTCCCCAGGGCTCGGTTCTGACGCCGTTGTTTTTCGCAATTTATGTCAGTGACCTCCCCCAGGAGCTTGAAGTACCGTCGCTGTTGTTTGCTGATGACCTCAAGCTCTGGAATATTGTGCATGTCCCTGGGGGCTCTGAGAAACTGTCTGAAGAGAATTTCATTGTATTGCATGAGCAGGATACTGTCAGGTTGCCCAGGCCTAGACAGGAGAACGATTAGGGTTCTCAGCCAAAGCCTTTGGTTCAAAAACCTGACCGCGAGGCAGCGGGTTTGGCGTTGGACTACAAGGAGTCCGTTTCAAGGAATAAGGTGCCACCTCATTCCAACCCCCAACCTGGAGGACCAGGAGACTCAGTACGTCTGGCTTCTAACCATTGACCAATCTGGTATGAGTGACTCTGAAGGTGCATAAAGAGCACCACCCGGCATAGCTCAATGGATCACTGAGGCAAACAAACCAACGCACCACGGGAAACTCCAGCCTCATTGCAATGGAGGAGCATTATACGCGCGTATCTCAGGCGGAATGAGGGCTTACGGCAAGCTGTCGTCGCCCTTTAATATCTCACCGGTGTGAGACAATGATGCTCACTGTCATCTTTCCTCTTCAACTTCGCTATTGACGAGCTCGTGGAGATCGCAATCACAGAACACGACTTAGAAGGTGTGGACATGCTCCCAGGTAAACGGCTTCTTGACTTGGAGTATGCTGACGATATTTCCCTAATCCGTGACAGCTCCCAGACGTGCCAAGTGACACTGGACAGATTAACACTGGCTGTCAGCCGCTCCAGGCTTTGCTTTGAACCATCGAAATACAAAGCATTTCTCCAAGATTGGCCTGGACCGCCTCCTTCGCTGACCCTTGGTGGGGATAAGCTAGAAGTCGTTCAAAAATTCAACTACCTTGGAAGTTGTATCAGCGTTCGTGGGATTTAAGATGAGATCACGAACCGTATAGCAAAAGCTCGAGGTGCTTTTGCTAATCTTCGCCACTTATGGCGCCGGAACGACATCACTCTCGCCCTGAAGAGTAGAGTGTACAATGTAGCGGTGCGTTCGACCCTACTGTACGGTTGCGAAACCTGGCCCCTTACATCAGCGGACATAGGAACTAGTTACATTCGCAATTAGCTTCGCAATTTAGCTCACATCTGGTGGGAACACCGCGTGAGCAAGGATCGTGTTCGACGCCTTGTTTACGACACAGGAAAAGGAAATGAACCGCTCTGCACCGTTATTTCACGCACCAAGCTCCGATAGCTCGACCACGTGTTGCGCATGCCAGCTCACCGACTCCCGCGACGTGCGTT